GCGCAGCACACTCGCTTCGCTCCCTTCCCCGACCGACGACGACGCTCCACCCCCTTCCGCCCTCTTCTTGACTGGCCTCCTCCTCCCCCCGAGCTCTCCTCGCACTGTTGGCCGCCTCGGCCGCTCTTCCAGCACGGATCTGCTGGATGACAAGCGGGGGCCCTTTGTGCGAGGGAAACAATCCCTTACTCAAACGCGTAAGGTTTTGAGCCCCTTTGGGGGTGGGGGCCGTGCATTTACGGGCGAGCCACCTGCCATCTATCGTGGCAGTCACGCCGCACTGCGAACAGAAATGCAGGGAAAAATCAGGCCAGAGATGTATATGATGCGTGCTGTGCGCAAGAGTTGCGCCAATCCAGACCTCCTCTCGCCGACGAACGAACTTCGACCACTGCGAGGCGACCGAAACTTCGGCTGGGGCAAGACCAGGGCAGGGCAAGGCACAAAAACTGAGCAGCTGTGAGGACGGGACGACCTGACAGCATCGCTTGCACCTCCACTTCGACCCGTACTGCTCGCAGTCGTGCGAGGTGTCAGTGAGAGCTCGAGTCTGCTGGGAGGGAGGAGGCACACGCTGCTTGCCCAACCTGGTCGCCTGCCAGGGATCGACCTGCAGGGCAGAAACCAACGCGCGCCTGGCCCGGCGTCTCACAAGATGGGCAATACAATCATACACATCAGTCTTGGGCACAGGCTGCTGAGTGCACAACTGCAGGCCTTGCTCAGCGGCTTTACCTGCAAAATCGCCAGCGCACATGTTACCCGAGGTGAGGAAAGTTTGCCAATCAGTGAGCTCTCTGCCCGCATCCTCAAGATGGGCGGCCGTCCACGCGATCTGCACTTCAGCCTCACCCCTGTTACGAAGCGCCACCGCCACCCTGTACCACAAATCCTGATTTGGGCCTAGCTTGCCGTGGGCTCGACCAGAGCGCCATCCATCAAGAACTGGTTGGCAATCAGTTACATATATGATGGGCCCCGTGGTTTCCTCCAGGGCAATGGCGAGCGCAGCTATCTCCGCGCGCGGCACAGTCTGCCGCGGCCCAAGGAGGGGGGCAGAGACCCCGCAAACAGGCTCCCAAGAGCCATCAGAAGCCTGACTGATCAGAGCAACTCCTGAACCACAGCGGCGCCTGCGGGGGTCGCTACTGTACTTACCGCCAGATCCATCCCCGAAGAAATAGGGTGGGTCCTGGCCAGGCTGGACGCAGGCCTCAGACAACCGAGAGGTGCCATAGCACGTGTTCGGAGGAGGCTCAAGGGGGTCAAGGAAGTGGGGGCAGGTGAGATCTCTCGCTGGCACGCCTCTCAGCCACAACGATGGATCAGCTTCCCACTGTGCTGCCGCCTGTGTGCACAAGGTGATCCACGTTGCCTTCGCACTGCCATTTTCGGTGAAACAATGTCTCAGGAGCCTTCTTGCACCTTGGACAAGTTACATCAACCGTGTAGCCACTGTCAACTTGGCGCTGACGTGGCCACTGGCCTCCAGAGGCCACGCACAAAGTGAGGCCCAAAAGATCGGCGTGGCCCCGAGACTCGAACCGACGGAGTTCCTGAGAGAGCGGGAGGAGGTCGGCTCCTTCACTGAGCGAAGTGCCTCCTTCGTGCTCCGCAGCGCCCTGCCAGAGGCCTGCTCTTAAATCAGAAACAAACTCATATAACAAGTCAGTGTGGTCTGCGAGCGCCAACAGTTCAAAGTGGGGATCGCCTGGCCTCGGAAATCTCCAAGCGTGATTCGAGTGAGACGGCCGTTCCCAGAGGTCTGGCTCGCGGGGCTCCCAGCCAGCGTCAAGCAGCGTGGCCTGGACAGCGGCTATGGGACCACGAATCCCTCGCCACCGCCGAGGGCCCAGTTTGTCGAGCTGCGCCCTGACCAACCCCCAGGAACGGGAACGGCGGATGCGAGGCTGGAGAGCTGGAAAGCGTTTCCAGAGCTGGAGCCACGAGTCAACGAGCTGGCGCCTGACCTCCAAGGCTGGGTCGCCATCTCCCAACACGGCCTGCAGCACCGTGGTTAAACACTTACCTTTGCTGTTGCCAGAGACCGTGCGGGCAGCTTGTCGCCTTAAAAGGAGGACCTGACTCGGTGGCATACCCATCACTTGGTGACCGTAGCTGGCCTGAGGCAAGGCACCCGTGCGCCAAGCGCCTTGAGTGACTTTCCGCAAGCCTGCAAGTCGCCTCATCTTTATAATCCGAGAAAACCTACCGCTGGCCTTGGTCATCCTTTGCCTAGCTTTCTTACGAGTTCTAAATCGACCAGCCGCGGTGTCAATACCTAAATCGACACCGGTGGGAGCATACTTGGCAGGCATCCCTCGGGCTCTGAAAATCCTAACAACGCGCTTGCCTAGCTCAGGAGACGACGCCAAGACAACCGTTTTGTCCGAGACCGTCAATCGTTTAACTCTGAAACCTTCCGAGAACGCATCCGCGAGGCCTTGCATCTCAGAAACGACTGTCTCAGGAGTGCCTTCTGAACGCCCCACAGTGTCGTCGACGAAAGTCCACAAAGAGGCCTGGGGGGCTCGCCTGTGTGCTGCATCCAGCACAGAGTGTAAGAATACTTTTCCAAGACAAACTCCGTGCGACGAGCCTGCGACGATCGACCTTCCTGGGCAGAACGGATCGCTGATGACCGAGCCCTCCTTGAGGATGCGCGGCGACATGAACAGCAGCACCTCCATCAACACAACAGTTGGCGGAAAGTTGAGGCCACGGGCTGCCACAATCAACAGTGTGAACGAGATCGAGTCGTAGAACTTGGCGATGTCTAACAACACCGTGGCAGAAGAAACTCTAAAAGTTGCTGACGCCTCGTCCATCAGGCTGCGCATCATCGCAGCGCGCAGCGCACTGCCGCCACGTATGGCAGTGTCCCAGAAAGCAGAGAGCCCATCTGACCATTGAGACGTGATCGAGCTCCTGGCCTGGCTCCACGTTTTGCAGCACTGAGACAGCATTCCCAAGACACGCGATCCCCCTGCAGGTTTGGGAATGACCGCACATATCGTTGCCAAAAGAGAAGTCGGCCACGTCTGGTCCAGCTCCACTTGATTCAAGATACAAGTAAGTTCCGTCAGTCCTGCAGGGGGCATGCGCTGGAGGAGGAGGAGGAGGAGGAGGAGGAGGAGGGAGGAGGAGGAAGAGGAGGAGAAGGAGGAGGAGGAGGAGGAGAGGAGGAGGGGGGAGGGAGGAAGGAGGAGGAGGAGGAGGAGGAGGAGGAGGAGAGGAGGAGGAGGAGGGGGAGGGGGAGGAGGAAGGAGGAGGAGGAGGAGGAAGATGAGGAGGAGGAGAAGGAGGAGGAGGCGGACGAGGCGGAGGAGGACAGCGTGGCACGCGCTTGCAACTTGCAAGTAAACTGTCGCGACTCTGTGCGCGCCTCTCTTGTGCAGCTGCTGTGTGGCAAACTGCTCAGAACTCGTCGTCGCAGCCCTCCTCCTCGCCCTCGCCTTCCGCGGTCTCGACGCCCACCTCCTCGTAGTCCTTCTCCAGCGCCGCCAGGCCCTCGCGAGCCTCGGAGAACTCACCCTCCTCCGCGCCCTCGCCCACGCACCTGCGCAAGAAAGCACGCTTCGAGCACGCGTGGTCGAACTCGTGGCCGATGCGAGAGAAGACCTCTGCAATGGCTGTGGACTTGCTGATCACGCAGCAGGCACGCATCACCTTAGCCAGGTCACCGCAAGGAACCAGCGGGAGGCTGCCAGTTGATACCGCACTTGCACCCGCGCGCGGGCCGCGCCGCGGCCTCGGGTCGGCCCTCCGGGAGGGGATCTCGTTGACGCAGTAAAGACCCCCACTGCGTGCTGGATCTGTGACGGGGCGCCCGCCCATCCCGGATCCTGTAGCAGTCCGGAGCAGGCCAGGAGCTACAGCGGCAAACCGGCGCGACGGTCCGCACATAGGCATTCCTGTTGGCCGAAGCTTTATCAAGCGCTCCCACATGTACGTCGGCTGGCCCACCCACCTGTCAGGCTGCGACCCGCGGGCCGGTTGAAGTCCCTGCACGTATTGGAAAGAGAGGTGCACAGCCCCCCGCTCAGAAGATCCAGGAGGTGGGACAAGCCCTGGGCACCTCGTCAGCATCGGCCCCGGCCAGGAGATAGCCCCTCATCGACATGCTACTCCAGCCCAGAGCCGCGCCCGCCAGAGACTCTCTTGCCGCGTCAACCACGCGCCGTCGACGCCCTCCCATCCAGGAGGGAGGCCCGCGAAACCTCTGGCGAAGCCAGAGGGGCGGGAGAGGCTGCCACAGCGCCGTGGGATCATTCCCGCTCCCTGCCGAGCTTTCGCAGGTGGTCTCGCAACTAGAGATGCCCTCCGGACCGCCGAAGCCGTCGCGAAGTTCCCCCGCCCCCGTTGCCAGGAGCGCTCGCCAGCAGCCGCGGGCGAGACCTACGAAGCGAGCCCAATCCGCAAACTTAATGGTACGCTTGGTCTTGATAGTAGCGACAGCTGCGCTCACATCCTCGGGCACGGCGTCTCCGCGGCGCATCATACAGCACGCGGAACAAGAGCCGAAGAGTTCGGAAAGACCACTCCTGACGGCGGGCTTTGCCAACCGCCGCAGGGCGAGTTCACGCGCGACAGTTCCCTGGAGCGCTGCCAGGGAGGCCAGACACCCTTCACGACCCGCCCCTTGCTCGCGGAACTCATGTCCGCGAGGTGCGCCGATCAGGCTGCACGCAATGACAGCCGCCCCAGTAGGAGCCGCGAGCGCGACCCCCGATGCGGCAAGGACTATAAAGTCAGGGCACTAGGCCTGCACTCCCTGAGTCTGCTGCCACGGACTGCCGTCGCGGCACACATGCGGCTGCCGGAGGCCCCCTCTACCTCCTTGGCCACGATGCCCTCCGCTGCCTCTGGGGCAAGACGGCCTTCTACAGACCCTGCCAGCATCAAGTGGAAGGAGGAGGAGACCGAGGAGAAGGAGGGGGAGGAGTGAGGTGGAAGTGGTCGAGAAGCTTGGGATGCGTCGGCAAGGGCGCGAGAGGAGC